CTGACAAGGTCAGAGGTCAACAAGACAGGAACGTTTTGGCCAGTCATTTTCTCGATATTGATTCTGATGAAGTGCTTGGACAACACTCGGGTAGCGTCATCCCTCTCCTGGAATGTCTTCAGTGTCATTTTCGAAACTTCAGGGGCACATTTGTTTAAGACTGACGCTTGTGCAAGTATCACTCTGCAAAGTGCACCGTAGACCTGTGGGCTCTCACTCACTGTCAAGTTTTCAGTGGCAGAAGCCGATGTTGTTTCCAGGTACTTGTAGAAGACCTGCACGTCACGTGTGAACGGTATGGTAGACGGGTTGTTTACTTTTTGTCCACTCAACGAAGCGAGAGCTGTGTGGGAGACAAGCTCACTCCATTCCTTTGCACACAATTTCATGAATGTCTTTGCGTCGCTCATCATCTGCTCATTGCCATCATGTTTAGAGAGGACAATGGTACCTATCTTTTTGAGTGAATGTCCCAATTTCAAAGCAAGACTTGGTTTGTTGTAGCCCTGCAGCTTTTCATTGAAACCAGCAATGTCTTTGACAGCCTCAACAACTTTGTAGAAGTTTCTGGGTTTGATAGCATCTTCGAAGCTAAATACTGACTTTTTATGCAGCGCTAACAAAAGTCTTCCCATTTCTCGCAGCTTCTGTCTGATGTAATCATGTTTATTTGGATTATTTCTATACTTCTCGCACAGATACTGTGCCAGCTGTATTATAAGGAAATCATTTTGAACTGCAAATGCAATCTCATCTTGATTCATTGTTAGCAGCATCTTCCACACACCAGAAGGGAGTTTGTGGGAGAATGGTGAATCTGCAAGAGCCATCTCACTTAAGACTCTTGTCTTGTCACCAGTTGCAGAGTTTGATGTCGTCTTTGATTGACATCTAGCTACATGCCTCCACATCTCCTTACGTTTGAACATGCCTTTACAATATAGACAATGCACGTATGTTTTAGCACTGGCGGTGCTTGTTGGTCGTCTTCTTAGTTTTAATGGTCCACTTTTATTCTTCATCACCTCTTGATTATGTTTGTAATTTCCCCTGTTCCGTAATACATCAAGTAATCTTTTTCGTTCCTTGGAGAGTTTGGGAAATGCAAAAGCTTCAGCAATTTCAGGCTCTTCATTAGCATGCCTTAAAAGATGTCGAGCGATTTTAGTGAAACCTGCCCCGCAAACATAACAGTAATTTTTACAGGTGTAGGAAGAGTCCATGGGCTTTCGTACAGGCCTGCTGGGCTCATATTCTTCATCCGAGTTGAGTTCATCGGGACTGAAAGCAGCCTCGTCCTCCAGCTGACTGTTAGTGTTGGCAAAACTGTCCTTATCCTGACTTGGTCCACTGTCAGGTAGTTCGTCATCATCAGACTTTTCAAAGCTGGAACCTGCTGAGTCCTATAGAATTATACACAGAAAACAAGCAATCTACTAGACTGTTCAGAGTAGATACATAACCTAGCTCTGTCCAAAGGTTCTCATCACCTCTAAAACTCACTAATAAACAGCAGAGATTCCAAGAGGCTACTGAAACCACACTTTTTTTTAAATTGAGCTTTAGTTGTGTACAAAAGCAGTGTGTGTACAAAAGCAGTGTGTTTACATGTTGCTAATACTGCCTCATTTACTGGAGTGTGAACTGTAACAGCTGCTCAAAGCATTAATTTAGTCTTTTACATACCCCTTCAGTCCTTGGTGTTGATGAAGTAGCATTAAAGCCTGTGTTTGAGGTACTCGATCCATCATAGGAGTCCTGTAAAATGCCAAGTGTGTGTGTGTGTGTGTGTGTGTGTGTGTGTGTGTGTGTATACATATATATTAAAAATATAATAAAATCGTGAAAGTCTGAAATAAAAAAATTGATTTTAAAAATACATTTCATTTTTTAAAATTTTATTTCATCCTGCTTCTTTCAATAATAATCAACTTATGGGCAATTTTTATTATTCAAGCGATTAACGCCAATTGTCCCAAAGGCCATTACACAAAGTGCCCCATTTATTAATTACAACAAACGTAACACGGCCAATTATGAGACTGTCTGAATAAGCAGATACAATTTAATGGAAATATCTGTGACAATCACATACTACATCCTCCAAATTAAAAAACAAGTCGAATCAACACTTCTCTAAAACACTTTACACAAAAAATAGAGTTATAATATTAATGGAAATAGGATTTATTGCAGGAATGTTGTATTAGACAGCATTGATTTTAGCAATGTGTACCTAATAAAAGTAACAAGTGACTGTAATTCTAATTAAAAAAATCAAAAGTTCCTTCTATAACAAAAACCTACCGTTGAGCGCCACGGGTAAGAGGAGTCCCCATAGTTGTAAGTTATCTCCTCGCCTGGAGATATTTCTTTCACTGCAAACAGGCACAAGTGTGGTTTTCCCTCATACACAACTTTCTTCATTTCACAGTTGGGACTTATGTGATCGTCATTCACGAGTCTCCCAAGGGTCCTATCATCTTTCGAAGCATCAACACTGCAAGCAAAATACCCTTAATGAAACTTCTACCACTCTTGACTGCACACCATATAAGTCTGTGTGTGTGTATTAAATTATTTTTGCAACCGTCCTACTTTATACTGCAACTGATGAACAATTTCCATTGGGAAAAATAAATTCTAGCCTATCTTATATTGTCTTCTTATAAAATAAACTGTAGAAAACCTAACCAGGCTCTTTATGACAAAATTGAAAAAACAAGCAAATAACTTACCACCAGTGTGCTCCTTTCCATGAAAACTCAAACAAAAAATTGTTCAGAGTATCACCACATTTCTTCCTAGACGATGTGTCTTTGTGAGAAACGATATTCCCCCGATATTCAACAACAAACATGGATGGTTTAATGGCTTTGTGGGTGAACACTCCTCTCCCTAGAAAAGCAAAGATTAACAAGAAAACATTAATCCAGTGTAATGCAGGTCCAATTGCCAAAACCAATCGTTATTTGCATGACCATTGTTTTACTTTAACCAAACAAATATATAAGAAATAGTATTTTTTAAGTCTTTTACTATGAAGTAATTCACATTTTCCATCAGTTTGCATTGTCCAACTCTAAACTGGGTTGCCATTCATTTTAAGTCTGAATACCCATGCTTGATAAATATACAAAATCTTTTAACTTGATTATAAAGCACCAATGTTTAGTTTTGTGCATCTTAGTTGGAAGGCACTTCCAATCATTAACACAGTAAATGTATTGAAGCACATCTACAGTAAACGGAAAATAATTCTGAAGGACACCAGAAATCCCTTCAATATCAATACAGCGAGTGCTCTCAGAAATGTAACCCTACCTTTAGAAGAGTCTATAAACCTTTCCTCCAGGAAGGGTTTGTCTTTACAAGCAACTATGTGCCCGAGGGCATCTTGCTCAGGAGTCAGTTGCCTTCTCTTCTTCTCCATGACATCTGGAAAGTTTTTCAAAGATACTAATTAGGTTTGGATGATATGAGATCTACTGAGCATAATGTTCTTTGCAAAAACAAGAGGCACAAAATAGCATGTTTGGCAGAATATTATAAAAGTATTTTAATCACTTGCTGCTTCCAAGCAACAGGTTAGTCACACCTCTAACATTTTTCTTACAATTCTCTTGTATAGACTGTCCTACTCATTAACTCTTACTTCTTTCCCTAGGTATTTACCCTACTGATGCCGTACTCGCTATTAGCTCATACTAGTATTTATTGCTGTTCTTACTAGTATCTATTATAGATCTCTTACTGTATTGATGATTGTATGTTGTTCCTGAAATGTAAGTCACTTCAGATAAAAGCATCTGCCAAATGAATAAATGTATTCATCCAACAAAGACACCTCGGTGCTACATGGTGTGTTCCCTAGGTGAAACACTGTGATTTTGCAATCACTCAGCATCGCTCAGCAAGGAGCAACCATAGACACAGTGTGCAGAACACACATACATTTTAAACAAAACAACAACCATGTAGGCAGGGAGAGAGCAAACCAATAGTGAGGTAAGAGCATGGTGCAAAAGATTGTGGAATAAATAAATATTTTTGTGCAGGGGTTGTGTTGGATAGTAAATACACACACATATATAAACAGTATTGAAATACAGAAGTAACAAATACATAATAATAAGTGGCAGTAAACAGTAGTATGTTACTAGAACTGTTATTTGAACTGTTAAGCTTTTAAAACTAAAGCAGTACTAGTTACCACATTATTGTTAGTAACATTATGTCAATTATGTCACGTGAAATAAAAAATCTCCTGTCTCCATTGGCTGCTAAAGCCAAAAACAAAAAGGCAAAGTATCTTCATGTGTGTGACTACAAACCACATGTGGACATTAACAGAAATGCATTTGTGTTGAAACTAAGAAAAACAACAGTAATGTTAAAGTTAGCTGCTTGGGTACATTGGCTGTTATGCATCCTGTCAGGCAATGTCTATTTGTGTTTATATCAAAACAGTATTGTTAAGATACTAGTCTCAGACTCCTGTTTAACTAACCTTAGTCAGTAATGTACACAAGCATTGCTAGCATGCCAACATTAACAAGCAAGTGCTGGATAAGCTATTAGCTGTTAGCCACCACTTTATCGATTGCTTTTGACTTAAATACATGTAACGCAGTACGATCAATATATATTTTAAACAGCAACACTTACCTTTGTTTCAAAATCCCCAAGTACAAGAAAGCAGAATTACAAGTGGTGCCACAACAGAGGCAGCCATATCTCATTTCTTTCCTGTTTTCAGACCCCGTGACGATGACGCTGTATTGTGCTCCAGCCAATCACAGATTGAACGTCACAGTCCTGCTCGGGAAGCAGCGAATCAGCGGCCGTGAATGTCTCCACCGCAGGGAGCAGCGGTGGACAGTCAAACACACGAAATTACTGACATGGGTGGTTTATGAGGACACAGGGAAAATATTTAATATCAACTGTCCCTTTATTCAGTAACTTATACCCCAGTAATTGTTGAGTCTCTTAGGAAACACTGTTTTTAAATGCTTTTATTCATAAAGAACATACAATAGAAAATACTCACAACCTTGGCATCCGTACTCTAAAGGACTGGGGTTAATATAACCAAGACATACATGAAGGGACAGTATTTAACTTTCTTTTTTTATACAATACCTGGTGGTTATGCAAAACACTCAAAGTCTCAGAAGACGCTTTGGATGAAATAGCATGTCTAAAATCCTCAATCCTCAAATTCTTTTGCTCAATTCAGTGTGTTCAGAGAAGGGACTAGACCTTTAAAGGTAAAATTATCTGTTGAGCAGTGTGTGTTGAAGCAAGGTTTTTTGTGTGAATTGATCTTGTAGATTTTGCCATGGTTTGTTGGAGAAGCCTCTCAAACAGCAATTCCACCAGCTATAGATATAAAGGAACCATCCACAGCGTATTAAAAACTGCAAAGGTATTGGGTCTGGAAATAAACGTGGGCTTTTTCACTGACAAACTGAATCCAAATCATGGCATTGATTAAATCTGTTGAGCACAACACACAATGTGTGTTGAAGGAAGTTTGTGCGTAAATTGATCTTGTACATTTTACCGTGACTTGGAGAAGCAATTCTACCCACAGAAATGGAGGAAAAATCCACAGTGTATTAAAAGGGTATTAAAATCTGTAAAAATATTGGGTCTGGAAATAAGCATTGGCTGTTTCACTGACAAACTGAATCCAAATTATGGCATTGATGAAACTAAACTGTTAATTTGCCAGTGAACACCTACATTACAAAAAGCCCAGTTTCCGTTTGTCTTCTGGGGTGGACATTTGCTCACCGACACCAACAGAAATAAAAAAATGTTCCCCATTATAGCTCAAACAAGAACAAAATAACCCCGAAAAAACTTTCACAGGAATTTAACGAATCATAACACGTGGAAGGAAAAAAGTAGCCATGATAAGCAACCATTCACTGGATAAAACACCAAAGGACAGCTACGTGTCCTGCTGAGGAGAAGTAAAAAGTCCGAATGCTGAGCTGAGTCTTGCATCTCACCTACACAAACACTGCATTTGAAGATCTCTAAATCCTGATCAATGTGTGGTTTAGGAAGTATGACTTTCTTGGCAGTTCAAGCACACTGTATTTATGTATGTGAGATTTATTCCGTCCATTGATGTTTATTGGGCTATGTTTTGAATGAACATTTCAGTTTATTTACAAACATTTACACCACAAGCTGATGTTGCACCAATAAAGCTCATTTCATCACTCTGAATCCCCATTGTCCTCCTCGTCAGGTATAAATGGCGGGTCACTGGAAGTCTGCTTCGCCGTCCCTCCGTCTTTCCTCGTCTTTAGATGCAGCTCTCTGACGGTGAGGATGCGGATGAGCATGGCTTCCATGGTGCTATCATCCAGAGGGGTGGAGGAGAACCACAAGGGGCTGTTGGGGACGCAGCAGCGCTCGGGGTGAAGGTAGAACAGGTTGGTGCGCTGCTTGACCGACTCCGAGCTGGATGGCAGACAGTTGTTAATGTCAACATAGGAACCAGGGGATTGAGGAGACCAATGTGCAGCACTAAGTTTCAGTTTAGTCTCACGTGTATGATAGAAACATTAAAAAGGAACTTGGTAGGACAAGACAGTCGAAGAAAAGCCAGTGGGTATAAATAATAAATGGACTGTACTTGTATAGTGCTTTTCTAGTCTTCATGTCACATTCACCCTATTCACAGACTGGCTGGCTGTGTGATGCCAGAAGGAAGACACCACCTGCTCATCAGAAAGGTAGCAATTTGGATACAGTGTCTTGCCCAAGGACACTTCAACACGCAGGGTGGGGGAAGCCACAGCCACCCCACATAGGCTTGGGCAAAGTTACAGTTTTTAAAAAAGTGGCAATACGGGAAATGAGAGTATCATACAAACAATATCCTTTACAGCCCAAGACAAGTTCCAACAGCTAGTTAAGCAGCCACCTTATTACAGAATGAGTTGAAGTAAGCAGATGACTTCAAACAGCCTGAGACATTTAAGAGTTCAGTGTGGTACTATACTCACCACTTGGAGAGGTAGAACTCGTACAGTCTGACTGGACAGCGGAGAGGGTTCTCTGTGTTCTCCATCATCTCCAGAACATCGTCTTTACTCTCCTCCTCCTTACGCTTCTTTGCCGGAACCTCTGGATCTGAAGAGGAAACAGTACACAAATACATTTACAGCATTTCTACTATAAATCTATTTCAGGTAAATGTTGTGGTAGCACTTTTTAACACAGAACAGAACTGCAGGTAAATATATTATTAATGAAAACTATACTTGGAATAACACTAAGGGGCTTTCCTATTGCCTTCTCAGACGGCTCTGCAACAAACCAAATAGATCGATAAATTAATGAAATAATTATCTCTTGTGAGAATTTACCGTCTACAGTGTGTGTTTTTTTAAAACAGCAGACTAAAACTGTCTTATATGCATTATGGTAAAAATTCAGGTTTTAATCAGGTTCAGGACTCTCAATCAAAACTACACAAATGTGCTGCTGCATATGTATTTTGAAGTTTATGCTGGCCTTGGTGCCAATTGCTTTTTCTTTATGTAAAATTTAATGGTTCAGATTTTTAGATTTTTCTGCAATATCTCCAGAAGTTTCATGATCATTTTGTGCAGCTTTTCAGCACACAATCAGGTAATGTGAATGATCTTTTGCAAAACATTTCTGCATGTAAATTGCTTGACTTCCTCAAAACCATTTATATAAAAGCAAAGAATTTGTGATGGTTAAAATACAAATTTGAGGATTCCAATGTAAGAGGACTGTTGATGTGTTTTAATATTTTAAAGTCTATGTTATTACGTTAGATGTTGGTATGGAACAAACAAACTCTCAGCCACTTTGGTACCTGGCTCTGCCTCATTTATGGATATCGGGGGGTAGAAGCGCAGGAAGGTGGTCTTGGTGTTGTTCTGGTTGGTTTTGGTGCAGCGCATGACATGGGCGAAGGACAGCTGGCGGTGCTGCTCCACCGTGGTGAAGCCAAAGTACTTGCAACAGAAGAAGAGCAGAGTGTTGAGGAGGACGATGGGAGAGTACGCTCCCAACTGTTTACAGTCCCACAGGAACTCCTCCTCCACCCTTGAATGGATATAACCTGCAAAGAGGGAGAGGGACCGGTTTCAAATCTGGAAAAATGTGGGTATGTTTGTGTAAAACAGAAACTGACAAGAATACAAACTGAATATTTGACGAAACAAAATGTAACATTTATAACTCACCACTTGATGTGACTGAGGGCTTGAAAACTCTCAGCATATTAGTGAACTCAGTGGAGAACTTGTTGTAGAACCGATCCATGAATATGTTCTCCACACGACCGTTCTCAAACAGGTACTACAGAGAGACAAAAGGTTACAATGAGAATACCTGCCATATTTTTTCCTACAATATATTATTTTGTTAGTTGTACTTGAGCAAAGCACAATTGCTGGCCATCCAATTATTACTGTTAAAATCATTGTCAAGTTTGGACTTGAGCGAATGTGTGAAAAGTGGTGATGTTCACAGTCGGTATGTTTGATTTTGATATGATGGGGACTGTTCAGAGATGTTTGTCCATCTTTTTTAGGGTTTTTACCCAGGGGGGTCTGTTTTAACTGCACCGTGCCAAGTCAAGCTGTGATGATGTGTTTCTACTGCAGCCTCAGCAGAAGATAACAAGCAGAGCCGTGCTGCTTTGGTTCTGCTTGGTTTCGGCTCCAACTACAGCTAATCCGTGATGGTCCACGCCCCTTAGCCGTGTCATCAGTAGCTAAACCTGTGTATCTGTGCGGGAGACTGGAGAGAAAGCTCAGTTTTCTCTCTGTAGTCAGCTCTCAATACTTTTTTCATGTCTTCACGAAACTGTGTGTTTTGCTGATTAATATCACTCCTGTGTTCCTGTATGTACTTTCACATATCAGCATTATTCTACTGTTTAGTGATCACTTTCAGCCATATTAGATCTCTGTTATGTTACTGCTAGTGTGTACCCAACTTTTCCTGCTATTGTAGCTTCACATGAAAACTTATCCCGCCAGTGGAAAATTTTCATGTGAAGCTACAATAGCAGGTGGGATGCTTTTATTGTGAAAAGTTATAGGAAATACAATGTGTCAGCAAATTAGCGTTGCTCTTCTATAATAACAAAAGGTCTAATCAACCAGATATGGAAATATTATGCGCTATTCGGTACAGAAAAAGTGAGCAGAAAAGGGCTGCAGGCGACACCTACAACACACCAACATGGTTAACAACTTCACCTTGCTGTGCCGGGCAGTGGAAAAAACATGCGCACTTTGCAGGCATGGCTTGACTGCTTGTGGCCGTTCACTGACCCCACTTATGTGTTGTGTATAACAAATATCTTGCCTGTTGAATGCCGAGGCAGAGGTAGAACAGGCTGTCGGGGGAGTAGGGCTCTCCATTCGGTC